CCCTCCAAGTTTTGTGCTAAGTATTAAGAGTTACTGTCACGTTTTTGCACCGTGCACGAACCACAGAAGTTGCAGCCAAATCATGAAATGTCAACAAGCTTGAGGGTCTGGGCTTGAATCTGTCACCATATGCTTTGTCATCTCTTCTGAGTACAACTGTAAGGATTTGTGAGGGCACCCAGGAGTTACGTTCTGCAAGTCATTTTCTCAGGCTACTGACAAATATTCTTCACATAGAAGAACCAAAAGCCTTGTTAAAATAAAGACAAGACAGATGATATCTCTTTTTTCAGTCAACCAACTCCTCTGTATATATTAGGAGTTTAGATATCATCAGATAGAGCAATTTGCATTATAAAACCATGTTGGTCAGTACTTCATAGTCTGTTGTTTTAAAAATCTTTATTGATTTGGTGATTACTATTTCCAGGTATAAGATTTTATCTATCTAGGGTCCAGTTCATGCAGTTACATTTATTGTGTTTTAAGGAGCTCCCACCCTGGGTTAGTTTCTTGGCCAAATTATTATGCAATTTCTTTATATAAAAATAGAACTCCTAAAATTTCACTATGAGTTCACACTTATAGAATGGTTGGCAAGCAAAAATGATTTTATTATATTTTTTTATATTGCAAATTTAAGCCACTTAGAAATAAAACTGCTCTTTCAAAGTCTTCACGATCTATTGCAAACGCTCTGAGCAGGCAGACGTGCAGGTGTGCATGCCGTCTGGTATTCTCTTTTTATCATCTCAGATTTTCCCATGTGGTTGGGCAGTATTCTGAAATTCTTAAAAACCTATGCAAGCAGGGGTGTTTTCATAATTATATACAATGACCACCAAATAATCAATTCCTTCACTAATCTTACTAATAGGAAATGTGCAGGGCACATAACTTTTCTGGGGCAGATCGCATTTTCTGAAGATGGCCACACCAATGTACATCCCATGACACTAGATTATAATATGATGCTGCTGTTCTTCCATCAAGTGGTGGCAGTCTGCGTTCCCTCCCCTTGAACCCAGGCACGTCTTTGTAACTGCCTTGACTGACAGGATGTGGTAGAAGTGAACCTGCCATGTACCAGGCAATACGGCTTCTACTGTCTTCTCTTTTGCTCTCTCTCCCTCCACTCCCCTTTGGAACCCGGCCACCATGTTGTGAGGAAGCCCTAACCACATGGAGAGGCCACGGGTAAAGGTTCCAAATGACACCTCAGCCGAGGTTCCAGCTGACAGCCAACGTCAACCACAGACATGTGTGATTAAACATGCTTTCAGATTGGAGCTATCCACAGAATGTTCTGTGACAGTGGAAATGTTCTGTGTCCACGCTGTCTGGTACGGTAACTTACTACCACATGAGACTATTGAGTAATTATAACATATCTAGTACGAATGAGGAAGGGGATTTTAAATTTTATTTGACTTTGATTTAAATCTGAATAGCCATGTGTGGCTGAGGGCGCTGCACTGTGCAGTTGAGCTGCTCTTGGTTGCAGCCGTCAGCCTTTCAGTCTTCCAGCAAAAGCACCAGACGTCACAGAGCAGAAGCAACCCCCTAACCCCATGTGCCTTGTCTGTATTCCTAACTTTCCCAAGCCAGGAGAGATAATGAACAGTCATGGTTGGTTTAATCTACTCAGTTTTGGAATGATTTGTTACAAAGCAATCAATACAACTAATGCACTCTTCCTTTCTGGTCTTTGTTGTTGTTCTCTAAGCAATAAAAATGTGTAAGTCTCTCTCATATTTCTTTTCTTTTTTTTTGAGACAGGGTCTTTCTCTGTCACCCAGGCTGTAGTACAATGGTACAATCATAGCTAACTGCAGCCTCGAACTCCTGGGCTCAAGCCATCCTCCTGCCTCAGCCCCCCCCATGCTCAGCTAATTTTTAAGTTTTTGTAGAGACGGGGGTCTCACTATGTTGCCCAGGCTGGTTTCGAACTCCTGTCCTCAAGCAATCATTCTACCTCTGTCTCTCCAAGTGTTAGGATTACAGGTGTGAGCCACCATGCCCAGCCTCTCCCATCTTTTAAAGTCTCTCTAGCTGTTGTATGTCTCCTCCTCTCGTCACAGCCGGGCTTCCTGAGCGAGTCCTTGACGTTTACCTTCCTCGCTCCCAGCTCATTCGCTGCTCCAGTCACCAGGCTCTGGATATGAACGAGGTCACCGTAATGTCAGTTCATTTTTTCTCCCACTTGGGAAACACAGGACTCCAGCAGCCCACCCTGTCTTCACGTTCTCCCCTACGTATTTCTGGGAAAAATCCTGCCCTGGCAGAAAAAGCCACCCCCTCCTGGCTGAGAAATTGCAAAAAAACCCACAAAACTACCTTTTCTGACTTAACTAGAAAAAGACACCCATTCTAGGAAAAGGCGCCCTTTCCCGGGGGCTGGTGCAGCCGCCTCCCGGGTCTGCGGCTTGGCCAGTGGGCTCCCGTCGCCCAGTGTCCTCGAGCGGCACCTGCAGTGCTGGCCGCACACCCCCCACGGTAGCTGTGTCTCCAGAGTGCTCCGAGCTTTCTCGAACGTGTCCGTCGGCTTTCCTCTCATGCAGGCTCTGGTCTCCTTGCAGATGTCTGGGGCCCAGGAAGCCTCTGCAGGGTGGCATTTTGTGACGTGCCCTGGAGTGGAGACCCTTTCCAGCCTGAAATGCTTAGAACTGCACAGTTCTTCGTTCCCAGCTTCGAGCTGCTTCCCTGCTTCTTCTAGAACCAAAGCTCGCCACCTATGCCCTCTTCCTGGCTCCAAGCATCTCCCTGCACCAGCCCACAAATGCTCCTTTGGGGACCCCCTTCCTACCATCTGATGCTGGCCTGTCCACCAGCCCCGAAGTGTCACCTTGGGATCCAGAGAAACTTCATGATTGCCGAGTAACTCCCAAATGCTAAGTCTGCCCAAATTAACCATGTGGAGAGCGTGGTTGAGGGTTTCAGTCCCCTAGAACGGACTACCTCCCTTACGAAAGGGAGGCCATTATTTCCATACCAGTCTCCAGATGTGGGCTACGTTGCTTTTTCTCTCCATTGAGGAAGCACAAGTTGATCCCACAGGAGGCTGAGCAAATTGCCTGACTGTGACAGGCTGTTGTCACAGGCTCAGAAGTCTGAAACATGGCAAACCATCTTCATATGCAAAAATGAAACAAGGTACGTTGAGATTTCACTATTTCCAGTTCACGTTTGGGGGTACGTGGTTCAGCACGTGGTACATTCCAGTTCATGTAAGAAAAGGGGAACTGATTTTTTAAAATTTTTTTTCTTTCACTAGATTTGGGGGGTACAAATGGACAAATCATACACTGGTAAAGTCTGGGCTTTTAGCATACCCGTCACCTGAACAGTGTGCATTGTACCCAACAGGTAATTTTTCATTCCTCAACCCCCTTCTATCCTCTCCCTTCTGAGTCTCCAATGTCCTTATGTCACTCTGTGTGACCTGGTGTACCCATTGCTCAGCTCCCACTTGTGAGACCATGTGGTATTTGGTTTTCCATACCTGAGATATTATTTCACTTAGAATAATGGCCTCCACTTTCATCCAATTTGCTGCAAAAGATAATATTTCATTCCTTTTTATGGCTGAATATTACTCCATGGCTTGTGTGTGGTATATATACACACCACATTTTCTTTATGCACTCATTGTTGATGGGCACTTAGGTTGATTTTGTATCTTTGTGATTGTGAATTGTGCTGCAATAATCTTCTTGATATGACTTCTTTTTCCTTTGAGCAGAAACCCAGTAGTGGTATTGCTGGATGGAATGGTAGGTTGACTTTTAGTTCTTTGAGGAATTTCCATACTGTTTTCCACAGAGGTAATTTGCATTCCCACCAACAGTGTATAAGCATTCCCTTTTAACCGCATCCACACCAACATCTATTGTTTTTTTGACTTTTTAATAATGGCCCTTCTGACAAGGGTAAGGTGGTATCTCATTGGGGTTTTAATTTGCATTTTGAAAGGGCCAATTTATAATAAGCGGTTCTAATTTGTTTGAAAAATCACAAAATATTACTCGTTTCGTTGATTATAAATGAATCCAAATTTCCCAATGAAACACACACACACACACACACACACACACACACACGCTTTTACTCCCTCTGCTAATGAGCTCTGGAACACTAAATTAATAATGGATTTGTTGTTAATCAGGTAATAAGCTTTTACATTTTTGATTTAGAGTCAGTAAACTCAGTGATATTAAACAGACTAGATTTTTGCAAGAGAAAATGAAACATAGTATTTCCCAGGATGACTTTCTTGGATATCACTGTCAAAATATTGTCTGGTAGGAAAAAATTGCATGTGTAATTAAACTTCTTGTGTATTTAGTGAGCTTTCCTTTTTCAGCATTAACTATACAAGTCCTGTCTCATGAAGTAGATCAATTTCCTTTCTAATTTGAATAAACATAGTCTTCAAAAAACGATACTGATGCTTACTAAAATTCAGCATTTTTAAGAAATCATTTTAATACTATATATTTTATGGATAACTTTATGTTTAAAATCAAATGTGTGTCTGGATTTTTCTATATAAATGTGGCATGGTGGAAAACTATGCTTAGAATATTAATTTTGATATTTTCAGAAATTGTCCATTTGCACAGAATTATAAATCTACAGCCTGGGTACCAATTCTTCTATGAAACAAAGCTAGAAGGGATTCCCCTTGCTGGTTTACCCCTGGGGATATCTGGGTGTGGTTTGTTTTCTTCTCGGACTAAAACAAAGATCTGTAGGAAAATCCTTTACAACTAAAATTCCTTGTTGTTACAAACAAGCTTAAGGAGGAAAAAAAAATCAGACTAGCCTGGCTTAATTGTTTGCTTATATTAGTGCATATATTGGATTTAATCCAGGTTAATAAAAATAAAGCTACAGTATAGGTATATGGAGTAGTATATTTAAGCTGTTGGCTTGAGTACATTTTAATGGCTGAAAGTATATAAAAAATATGAAGGCGGAAGCAAAACAGTAAGCAGTTATAAAACATAACAAGTTTTCTTATTCTTTATTAGTTTAAAGGAAGCTAGAACCTAATAACAATATGCCACATACGGTTCAGAAGCAAACAAAGGCTGCTTAGTTATTTATTTTGCATTTGCTTTTTTTAGGAAGTGAGAAAAAAAAACAGCTCTATTGACACTCAAGTTTATTTTCAATTAAAATCCCCATAAATTAGAAAATGTCTCATACAATGGGGAAATGGAAAAAAAAACCCTGTTATTCAGAAAAAACTTTCTTAAGTATGCTTGTTTCTTATAGTACCTTGGATTTTGTGATCAGTCTTATAAGGACACTTAAAAAATAATTCGATCTCTGTTTTCATGTTTAAGAGAGTACGTAACTGTCTTGTCCTTCGATGCAAATAAGAGGAAAAATTTATGCTCGCTTAGTTTTGAGCACTGAAAACACTCCCCCCCAATTCTGCCATTTGTTCGTGTCCCACGTGAATAAAAGGATGCAGCTTAGAAACCAGAGCCGTGCTGCCATTGTGTTTTTGCTAATTAAAATTCAGAGTATTAAACACAGTTGAGTACGTCCATGCATTCGTGACATGCCGTCACGACACGCCGGAAGCTCCAATCCTCAGCGCTAAGCAAAGGCTCATTTCATAACATCATTAAGATTCATTGTGCGCCGCGTTCCAGAAAGGCTTTGTCAAAGCAGATAATAATGGCCTGTCAGATAAGCGCAAACAAAAATTTATATTAAATTGTCCTTTTCCACCCTCTTTTTTTAGTATGGGAACCTAGTTGCATTCCTAATATATGGCACTCAGGGCTTAAGTGGAAGGATTCCCAGGTTTTGAACACTGTAAGAATATTACCAAAATAGAGTATTAAAAAAATGTTAAGTGAAAAATATTTGAGTAACTAGGTGGGGGTATCTCAGGAGTGGCAATCCAGCTTAATGACCGTATGACAACAATGGAAGGTGTAGCGCAGGAGTGTGAAGGTAGATAGTGCTGGTGAGTCATAAGGCGGAGTGTTTAATTTGCAACAAGTCAAATAAAAGCATTGCTTTCTTTTCCTTAAGAACCTTTGGTACTCTTTCTATTATAATCTCAGAAAAGACAGGGCTCTCATTCAAACATTTTTTTTTTCTTTTACATCCTGCTGAGCGAAGACGTTTGGAGAGACACAGTTTCCAGCTGGCTTCCCGAGTACGGTCACAAGTGCTGCTGTCTGGGAATCCGATGGTGAGAACTGACATCTTTAGACTCGGTATTTTTCTTTACCGTGTTCATTGATCACGCATATGTGCTGAAACAATAAAGCATTTAAACCCGTCAGTTTCTTAACAAAGTAGGAGGCACAGATAATGCGAGGTAGTCATAACAGAATACCATCCTGTAATTGGTTATTGTTCCTTTAAATATATATGTGCGTGTGTGTGTGTGTGTGTGTGTGTGTGTGTGTGTATGTGTTACAGGTATGCGTAAAATCTAAATAGACCCATTCAGATGCTTGACAAATGGTTCTTTGTTGTTTTGGTTTTGAGCCCTATTTTGAACGCGGCTCCCTGGGTCTCTAAAACCCAGAGATGGCCAAGGAGCAGTGCGTTTAGCCCTGGTGGGAACAGAAGTCTCCTAATGGGAAAAGAACAACTCCTTCTGTAAAGGGAGAAATAAGAATGATTAACACAACATGAGCTCTTATTTGACCCTTTTTGGGTAGCAAGAGATGTGTTAGGAATATTTTGATGGCAAACAACAGAAATAGAGTCAGGCTAATAATGTAAGCAAAAAAGGAGGGATTTTTTGAAAGTATACTGGGGCAGCTCCTGGAATCCAAGGAAGAAGTAAGCCATGAAGCAACCGGAAGGTAGGAACAAGGGCAGTGCCAGAGGCTTTAGCCCATGGTGCTTGCAAATGTTCTAAAGCACTGCTATTATAGTGATTGAGGCCCTCAAACCATTGGTCTCTGTGATTTTTGGTTTAAGTTTCTAATTCCCAGGAAAAGAGACTGATTGGTCCACTCTGGGTCAGATGTCTATCTCTAGATCATTCAGTGTCAGTCAGGGCCACACAGCTGGGGCTCCACGGCTGTGTGTTGGGACATTTCCCCTGCAGGGGAACACTTGCGAGAGCTGCATGCCACTGTAATTGGAACCTGCTAGATTTCCAGGCCTGACACAGAACAGTGTATAGAATATTGGATGTTGTTATGGTTGGCTGGGCACATCAGTGACCATGGGAGAGAATCAGCACCAAGCCACAGTTCTGCATGTAGCTTCCTATTCCTTTAGTACAAAGTAGACAGAGACAGTCATCATTCACTTGCATCATCCTGATGCCTACTTTGCAGAACAGTGGTGGGAACTGACTGGGAGGATGGATGCAAAGTGCCCACCATATTCCCAACATAGGAGATATTCAATAAACAGCAGTCATCATCATTACTCTTTCAATGATTTGTTAAATTGATAAGTTACCATTAAGTTCTTTTGAAAAGGAGGCTGGGGATTTGCATGCAAGACTTACATTCAGATCTCTGAAGTATTCATTGTAATCTAAGGCATATCCCACCACGAATAAGTTTGGAATCTCAAATCCAGCATCTTAGCAGAGAGAGAGAGGAGGAAAAAAAAAGAAATAATTTAGATTATGTAAGTACAAAGCTACCATATGCTGCTGTTGGCTCTCAAACTCGGAGGACCTTTCATTTAGGCAGAAGGACGTGAGAAAAGTGAGCGGCGTGCGGGACGGGTGGGTCCTGAACCAGGTGACCACTCAGGGAGAAAGAGACAAGCCAGCGTGCGGTGAGCGACGCAACTCCCAGCAGGCGGAGCTGGGCTCAGGAAGCCCAGCAGATAACAAGTATGTATGAGTTGGTCACGTGGCCCTGGCGTTCCAGAGCAAGCGCTACATAATGATAAGACGCCAAAGCAAACACGCCGAATAGCACAAAGGGAAGTTCCAGCAAAAGGCTTCCCAATACTGCAACACGTGAACAGGTGCTCGGGCTGTGGCAACCAGGAAGCAATTCTCCTCCTGTCCCAGCATCTCAGCTGGTTAAAGGACTGGAAGTTCTGAAGGCTGGGAGACAAGATGAAAGCAGATGGGCTTGTTCAGCTTGAGGAAGAGAATGCGGAAGGTTTAGTTTAATGCTGACCTTTGGGCCCACAATACAGAGGAAATCAATTAGCTCTTTATTGGGGACAGAATGAGAGGAAATGGATTTCAATGCAGTGCAGGGTACTCAGGTTAAGCAAAAGCAGAATTTATTGAAAAGAAGATGATTTTTATTGGAGGTGATTGTTAAGAACAGGCAAGAGCTCTCCTTCTTCAGAAGTCTTGAAACAGAATAAATGTGTCTTGGTCCAGTGATTTTCAAACTTTTTCCAGTGTTTTGGAATCTAAGTTTGTGCATCACAGTATTGCGGATAAGAGAGATACCTGCTTACTTCTATGAAACTGTTCTTTGGCACAGCCGGTGGACTTACAGCATGGACAAGGTCATCTCCATGGTGACTGTGACTCAAGGTGTTTTCACATGGAGAGACCAACTGGTTCCTGCTCACGGAAAGTGCCAGAGGTGAGGGACTTATATTCTAGGGGATTGCATAATAGGGCCACTTGTTCAGAAGCCCATTTGATTCTTCCAAACTGCAGAGTTTCTTGAAAAAATAAAATAACCAAAGAGGAGAAGTGAGAGAAGAAAAGATGTCAGAGGTTACACATTGAACATAAAAGAGTCAATCATGAGACAGGAGAAGGGAAGTCCAGATAGAAAGCAGAAACAGCAATTCTGAGCTAGCGAAACGCATATGAGTAAGTCCCAGGCGACCCTGATTGTAACCAGGGTTGTAGCAATCATGATTTTACCATGAGCAACGCGATCCCTCCGTTAGCCGTGGCAACTCAGACTGGGAAAATTAGAGCTCAAAGCTGGTTTAAAAGGCCACACCTTGAGAAGTCAAAGAATCCAAGAAGGGTGATGGAGCAGTAAGACAGACAGGAATCAGAGTGACCTATGACCAGCCAGCAAACGAGGGCAGCCCCTACACTTCTATTTGCAGTTGCAGAAGCTACTTGCAGATGTAGCCCAAGCGTCCCAGCAGTGACTGGAACCAGGCTGCCTGGGTTCAATACTGACCCTACACTTACAGCTATGTGTCCATGGCAAACTGTTTAACCTTGCTGTACTGAATTTCCTCATCTGTAAAATGGGTACAGCAACAGCACCTACATTTAGAGAGCTATTGTGAGGATAAAATGAATTAATGTTTCTATACCTGTTAGAACAGTGCCTGGCACATCCTAAGTGCTTATTAGTGTTTGCTATTATTTTGTTAATGTTGTTATAAGTGATATGAGACATCTGAAATGAATTGGGTATGTCTGAAGTGAATGTTTTTCAACTTCAGTTAAAATCTTATCTATACAGTAAGTATCTTACACTCCTTCCTCAGAAAATTTCTGCTTAGTAACCTCGTGCCATCTTCACTTCATCTAAATTATATCCCCAAAGCCAGTAACCGACAGGAATAGCTACTGGGTCTCTCTGCGCAGAAGTGACATGGTCTAGAGTTAGCGTTGTACATCCAGCCAGGATCGAGACCTGTTTATAGAATAAAGTGTCACTGGCGAGATGTCACTGGCACGTTACCCATCCGTACCGCGCTTCTCTTTCTCCAATGTTTGTTCAGCTTGCTGAAGAGAACTGTAGCCAAATTATCCCAGGGGCTTTAGAGCAATGTAAGTTATAAAAATCAAGCTGAATTCTGCCTATGCAAGTAAAAAAAAAAAATCACTTCTAGTGTTAGAATAATAAATAATCTGGCTGCTTGTTTATCCTTCCTGGCATTGGACCTAGCCTCATCGCGGGGAGGAGCGAGCAGAGTGCCCTAGACGAAGGGAACCTTCTGGAACACGCGTCTGAAGTCAGGGGTGAAGACGGTATCTGGCGCTATCTGCTCTGCTAATTCTCTGTGCTGGGGAACTTCTGTTTGGAGGTGGTGAGGGGACGTCTCAGATTTCCCCTTCTGTGCGCTAAAACTCAGGCTTGCTAAAGGTCGCCGTTGTGCATTGTCTGGTGACAGTTCCTGACGATGGCAGGAGGCTCGCTCTGGACCTCTGTGGCACACCTCTCCGAGCCCGCCTGGCCGAGGCAGGAACCTACGTGTCCGAATCAGTCCAGCGAGACCCCCTGAAACTTTTCAGCTGAATCTTTTGGAGTTAAGGTGCTGGGTAAAACCTAAAACTATGCAATTCACAGAACATCATTCCTGTGAAAGATGCAAATAAGAACATTTAAGACTCATTGTGAATGGTTCTACCCTCCCTAGCCAGGCAGGGAAGACCACGAGGAGTCTGTGGGACGATCTACAGCACATGGAGTGCTGTCAAAGAGGAAACTGAAGGTTCTTAAACACCACTCCTGAAAACCAACCCACCCACCCACCCACCGACCAAAACCCAAAAAACACTTACAGTCGGGTCTGAAGCCATCGCTCCTGGATGTTCGCTTCACCAACAAACTATCATTAAAAAAAGAGGTGTTAGTGATCCCAATGAAATCCCTGCGAATTGCAAATACAATTAAACATCATTCAAGTCTGTACTTAAGGACGGAAGTTGCTCCTGTGGCTCTGGCTAAGAGGCCCGGATCAGAGCCGTTGCACGGGGCTCCTCCGCTGCTTCTGGAAACAGCCGTGGGAGGCACAGGAAGGAGGGGCTTGAAACACAGCAAAGCATGTCTCTTCCCTCTCCTCTCTCCGGCTAGCAGGCAAATGGGCTGTTTTTCCACGTGGTCAAACCATAACATCCCAGGGCAGAGGGCCATTGGTTTAGAATATATCACATCCTTTGGAAAGAGCATCCTGTGGTAGCACCCCCTTTGGGCTTACCTGGAAGACCAGAACTTGCCTTGCCATGTGGATGTCCCACTCACCTGGCCACCTTAATCATGTTGGGCTTGTACTTCTCTATGCTGCTGAGCAGGGCTTTCATGGTTCTCCCGGTTCCAACGACATCCTTTGCAAAGAGGACAGGCAAATTCAACAGAGTGCATTTGAACAGCATAATAGATATTTCACCCAGGGAGAGATTCCCTATTAATAATGCACGCTAATTAGAAATGCCACCCAACTGGGCCGGGCGCGGTGGCTCACGCCTGTAATCCTAGCACTCTGGGAGGCTGAGGCAGGCGGACTGCTTGAGGTCAGGAGTTCGAAACCAGCCTGAGCAAGAGCAAGACCCCGTCTCTACTATAAATAGAAAGAAATTAATTGGCCAACTAATATACATATATATATATATAAAAAAATCAGCCGGGCATGGTGGTGCATGCCTGTAGTCCCAGCCACTCGGGAGGCTGAGGCAGTAAGATCGCTTGAGCCCAGGAGTTTGAGGTTGCTGTGAGCTAGGCTGATGCCAAGGCACTCATTCTAGCCTGGGCAACAAAGTAAGACTCTGTCTCAAAAAAATAAAATAAAATAATAATGCATGCTAATTAGAAATGCCACCCAACTGGGCAAGGCGTGGAGGCTCACGCCTGTAATCCTAGCACTCTGGGAGGCCGAGGCAGGAGGATTGCTCAAGGTCAGGAGTTCAAAACCAGCCTGAGCCAGAGCGAGACCCCGTCTCTACTATAAATAGAAAGAAATTAATTGGCCAACTAAAAATATATAGAAAAAATTAGCCAGGCATGGTGGCGCATGCCTGTATTCCCAGCTATTCAGGAGGCTGAGGCAGGAGGATCGCCAGAGACCAGGAGTCTGAGGTTGCTGTGAGCTAGGCTGAGGCCACAGCACTCTAGCCCGGGCAACAGAGTGAGACTTTGTCTCAAAAAAAAAAATAAATAAATAAATAAAAAGAAGAAGAAAAAAGAAATGCCACCCAACTGAAGTCAAGTCGGAGGCAGACCTGGCTATGCTCCTTTAGACAGGCGCTTTCTTTCTAGAAGCTGGATTTGGGGAATCTGCTGGGGAGTATTTCTTCCGTGCATCCCTCAGCTGCGTGGAAGGGCTGAATGTAGGCTCTGAAGAGCCCGCGGCTCCTCGCTGAGCGGATCTGCACTCGTGCACGCACACCCAAGGACTGAATGTGGCCCTGAGGTTATGTGACACAATACGAGGCGCATGAATTTTCATGGGCGTGAGCATCTGAATACCCCGAATGGATAAACACCGCCCCGCTCGTCCCCACTCGACGGGGGCTCTGTGGCTGGAAGAGAGACGTGCCCGGGCAGCAGCTGGTGACAGCCCCAAGTACTGAGGGTCCGTGGCCACAGCCAGCCCAGGCCCGTCTCCGCTCGTGAGCTGCTGCACAATTAGAGGAGAATGGGCAGTGGCGATTTATTGTCCTTGGGACAGAAATCAGCTGTCCGGAGCTGATTGTCAAGACAACAGGTCTAATTTAGCAAGGGTTGGGCGATTCATTAGGTTCGAGGGTCTCCTTCACGGGCTATGTGGAGCCAGAAGGGCTGCAGATGCATATGGCACACACGGGCCATCGTGTAACAACGGCTCGAAAACAGCCCCCGACTCTGTGCCAGCTGATAAGACAGGCGTGTCCCGGAACAGACGCGTGGCCATTTGCTGTGCAGTCCATTACTGCCACAGGGCCTGCACTTGGTCTTTTCTTTTCAAACAGGAACACGAATTTAAAAACAAAGCATTGCCTTCCCCTAGATTGCTATTTTTTAATTGATTGTATAGACAATTTTGATGCCGAAGGTATTTGGGAATTGCTCGAAGTCATTAGGGGTCATTAACAATGCATTCAGGGTAAAGAGAGTTTTAACCTCGGTTTTACTATATGAAATGCATTCGGTGTGGTGGGCTAGTTTCCCCTTCTCTGGAAATGTCTGATTCACAAATAGGTACAAGAACCAATCTAGAGATATGTGAAATTGCATCTAAAGAAAGGATCAAGTGCCACACAACTATGACTGCAAAGCTTTTATACTAAGTTGTTTGAAGCCAGGGATGCCAGGTGGCTCTGCAAATCTGGAAAACCAGGTACACAGTGGGGATTCAAGAAATCCTTGGACAATACGACACGTTCTATACTTTAAAACTCACCGTTAGAGTCTTTCAACTTCCGATATGGAAAAGGAAAGGCCAGCTTACCTCAACAATGAGAACATTCTGAAAGAAACAAAACCTGTACTTTAGAATATGATGCCGATCTGGCTCACAAGATAAACACGCATTTTGCTTCCAGTTAGAATTTTGCAATTTGCTTAGCTGGTCCTGCCCCATCCATCTACTCCAAACGATTAGAGGCAATCTAGGTATTCCAGATTCATTTGAACAGTTCCTCTGGAATTACCTGGTGGCACAATATTAGTATCTATATTCAGGTCAGGAGCAGGCTTACCTTAGACCCCGTTACCTGTCTGAAGAGCTACCCACAAAGTCATCCCATTTCAATAACTCTGCAAGCACCCCCAGCCAGCATTCCTTTGGGATGCAAAACTTGCTAAGAGTGTACCAGCAAAACAAGGCAACACGAAATGAATCACTAATAGAGATGGATTCAGCTGTGACAGCCTTGTTCCTGCATAGCCACGAAAATCCCTGAGGACTCAGCGTTTACTCCCAGATTGAGTCAACCTTGAGGAAGGCAGTGGCTAGAGAAAGGGCTGGGGGTGCCGGGTCTGTATTTTTAGTGAGATGGTTAGGTCCCTCGCTACATGCTCTCTGGGCATTCCTCTACTTCTCCCCTAAATACACTGATTATGTTTCATTTTAATTTCTTGTTTGATACCTGTCTACCCTATTAGACTCTGAACTTCATGAGGTGGGGATCACGTTTGTTTTGCTTACGATTGCATTTCCAGACCCTAGCATAATGCCCGCCTGTAGATGCTCAATAATTATTTGTTGAATAAAGGAATAATAACTGATTAAGCTTATTAATGAGTGAAAAACAACCAATTAATTAGATTAGCAATTACCTATCAATGCTGTCCCACCAAATTAAAATATGAATGTGTTAATATGACATTCTCATTAACTAAATGGTGAGAATACTTCTTCATTGTCATACTTCTTTAGATGACCTTTCATTTATCCCTATAATTTATGTAATACTATAAAAATCAAATAAATATTACATATTAGAAAACTTACTTAGGTCTAATACAAGACTAAAAATTAATGAAAATGTTAAGCACCCACCCAACCAACCAATGAACCAACCAACAACTCTTTTAACTTTGTACCATATGTCAAATGCATTCTTAGGTGGAAATATCTTCCTGGAAGTGTTTTTTTCACAAGTATAGCATTTTCGTTCATTAAATCCATTGAAAAAAATCTTAATTTTATCGTGAAAATGTAAGATTATTTTGTCCATTTTTTAAGCAAGTTGTGCCATTAAAGCCTCTACTCTAAGAATCACACTGACAGGGGAGTCCTGTTGGCATTTTAAACACTATTTGCTATGATCTTAACCATCAAGCCACAGTGGTTGGTTAGAATGTGCATTTTTAGTTTGAATGAGGTTGACCAACCCGGCCTGTGAACAAATCAGAATACTTGGAGAATGTTGTGGTTAATTTAATTTCCTGGTTCACAATCTCTTTTTGTTTCAACTTTATAAAGAAAAAGCTTTCTAAAATGTGTTCGTCTGCATTCTTGCCTAATTAAGTAGAGTGCACTGAATGTAATTAAATCCTTTTTTTTTTTTTTGACAGTTCAGAACCTTGCAAAACAAAAGAGTCATCTTTGAAAAGATTAGCTTCAACTCTCAGATACAGTGGTGGGTGGGATGTGAGGCTTGGATATTGTCAAAATTTCTCAAACATATTTTAAAATCAAAGTAATGCATCCACATGTTTAGAATCAAATAGACTGGAAGGTTTTTAAAGAAAAACACCTCCCTTCCACTTCACCTCTCCTTACTCTCAATTTTGTTCTCTAGAGACAGTCACTTTTAACTCTTTTAGCTGTTTTTCTGGTTACTTCTATATTTCTTAAAAATATATCTAATAATATGTTTCATATAGCTATTACCATTTTAAAAAACATACTTAAGTTATTTATTGATTTTTTTTAGGTTGCTTGTTTTTTAAAAAGGTTTAGTATATATGCATGTTCATTTTTATTATGGAAAGTTATGAATGCAAAGGAAAAGTTCTTGAAGGAAATTAAAAGTGCTACTCCAGTGAACACATGACTAAGAGAGCAAAACACTTCTGTGGAAAGCAATATGGAGATACCTCAAAGAGATACAAGTAGATCTACCATTTGATCCAGCAATTCCACTACTGGGCATCTACCCAAAAGAACAAAAGACATTCTATAATAAAGACATCTGCACTCGAATGTTTATAGCAACACAATTCACAATCGCAAAGATGTGGAAACAACCCAAGTGCCCATCAATAAATGAGTGGATTAATAAAATGTGGTAAATGTATATCATGGAATGCTACTCAGCCACAAAAAACAGTGGTGATCTAGCACCTCTTGTATTATCCTGGACAGAACTGGAGCCCATTCTACTAAGTGAAGCATCCCAAGAATTGAAAAATAAGCACCACATGTACTCACAATCAAATTGGTATTAACTGATCGACACTTAAGTGCACATATAGTAATAACATTCATCGGGTGTCGGGCAGGTGGGAGGGGGAGGAGGGGATGGGTATATACACACCTAATGGGTGCTGTGCACACCGTCTGGGGGATGGACACGCTTGAAGTTCTGACTTGGGTGGGGCAAGGGCAACACATGTAACCTAAATATTTGTACCCCCATAATATGCCAAAATAAAAAAAATTAAAAAAAAGCAGGCAAAACAGCCTCACTGCTGATATGAAGAAAGTTTGAGTGGTCTGGATAGAAGATCAAACCAGCCACCACATTCTCTTAAGCTAAAGCATAATCCAGAGCAAGGCCCTAACACTCTTCAATTATTTATTCATTCATTTATTTTTTTTTTACAGGGTCTTAGGAGTTTCCAGTGGCATCTCTTCAATTATTTGAAGGCTGAGAGAGGTGAGGAAGCTGCAGAAGAAAAGTCTGAAGCTACCAGAGGTTGGTTCATGAGGTTAAAGGAAAGAAGTCATCTGTCTATGACATGAAAGTGAAAGGTGAAGCAGCCAGTGCTGACGGAGAAGCTGCAGCCAGTTGTCCAGATCTAGCTAAGAGCACTGATGAAGGTGGCTACATTGAACAACACATTTTCCATGTAGGCAAACAGTGTTCTATCGGAAGAAGATGCATCTAGGACTTTGATAGCTAGAGAAGAGAAGTCAATGCCTGGCTTCGAAGCTTCAAGGGACAGACTGACTCTCATTAGGGGCTAATGCAGCTGGTAACTTTAGGTTGAAGCCAGTGCTCATTTATCATTCTGAAAACCCTAGGGCCCTTAAGAATCACACTAAATCTATTCTGCCTGTGCTCCGTACATGACACGCCAAGGGCTGGATTGTAGTACACCTGTTTACAGCATGGTTGGCTGAATATTTTAGGCCCACTCTTGAGACTTACTGCTCAGAAAAAAAGATTTCTCTCAAAATGTTACTGCTCATTGACAACGTACCTAGTCACTCAAGAGCTCTGATGGAGAGGTACAGGAACATTGATGTTATTTTCATGCTGCTAACTCAACATCCATTTTTCAGCCCATAGATTAAGGAGTCATTTTGACTTTCAACCCTAATTATTTAAGAAACACCTTTTGTAAGGCTGTAGCTGCCATAGATACTGATTCCTCTGATGGATCTGGGCAAAGTAAACTGAAAACCTTCTGGAAAGGGTTCACCATTCTAGATGCCATTACGAACATCTGTGATTCATGGCAAGAGGTCAAAATGTCAACATTAACAGGAGTTTGGAAGACCTTGATTCCAACACTCAAGGATGACTTTGAGGGCTTTACACCTTCAGTGGAGGAGGGAGTAACTGCAGATGCGGTAGAAAGAGCAAGAGAACTAGGATTAGACATGGAGCCCGAAGATGTGGCTGAATTGCTGCAGCCTCATGATCAAACTTAAACAGATGAGGAGTTGCTTCCTGTGAATGAGCAAAAAAAGTGATCTCTTGAGATGGAAACTACTCCCGGGGGTGGTGGTGCTGTGAACATTGTTGAAATGACAACGAATTTAGAATAGTACATAAACTTAGTTGATAAACAGTAGGGTTTGAGATGATTGACTCCAATGTTGAAAAAAGTTCTATGGTGGGTAAAATGGTATTAAAAGCATCACATACTACAGAGAAATCTTTCATGAAAGGAAGAGTCAATCCACGTGGCAAACTTCACTGTTGTCTTATTTTGAGACATTGCTATGGTGATCCCAACTTTCATCAGCCACCACCCCATCAGTGAGCAGCTGTCAACACTGAGGCAAGACCTTCCACCAGCAAAGAGATGATGACTTACTGAAGGCTCAGTTGATCATTAGCATTTTAGCAATAAAGTGTTTTTAATTAAGGCATGTACATTTTTTTAGACATAAGGCTAGTGCATACTTAATGGACTATAGTATAGTATAAACGTAACTTTTATCTGCATTGGGAAACCAAAAGAATTGTGTCACTTGCTTTACTGAAGTGGTCTGGAACCAAACCAGCAACATCTCCAATGTACTGCCTACACCAGGATTAATTATAAGGGTTAAGGGACCAATACTAATGCATCTCTATATGATCAGCACGTAACATGGAGACTGGCATCTAGGAAGTGGTCAAGAAATGCCTGTGGACTGAATCAACAATTTCAACCTCTTTTCTTTCACTTTCTCTAGATCATTATACTGTTGATATCTCCCCGCCATTTTTCCTTAATGATCTGCAGTTCCTCCTTACCCGAGCTACAGTTAATGTCGACTGCTTTTAATTTTGTGCCAAGCCATTTTCTAAAATTCCCATATTTTGAGTGGGCAACCTTGGACATTTTTTCAGTACACAATGTGCCTCCCAAACACTTCCAATCTGATAACTCTGATCACTGAAGCTGAGATGTTTGCCAGTTACTGTCTTAGTCATCTCATCACACCTAGCTCATTTCCTCCCAGAAAGCCAGTAAAATCTGCAGCCCGGGGGCTGCAGGCAACAAACTCGACAGGGAATCTCTGGAGTGTGTTCTCTCGTTGCTGTTGCTACGATTCTGATTAAAGCTCATCACACGGAG